AAAAAAAAAAAAAAAAGGAGCAGCTAAGCCAAGTTACAGAAACAGGGAGTAGATGGTGGTTGCCAGGGTTTAGGAGGTGGGGAGATGGGAGTCAAAGGGTACACATTTCCAGCTATTAAATGAGTAACTTCTGTGGATCTAATGTACATATAGCATAGTGACTATAATCAACAACACTGTAATAGATACTTGACAGTTGTTAAGACAGTAGATTTTTAAAGATATCACCGCACGCAAAATATCATAATTAAGTGAGGGGACAGAGGTGTGAACTAACCTTATGGCGGTAATCATTTTGCAGTATACACATGCATCAAACCATCAGGTACGTCTTAAACTCACATACGTTATATGTGAATAATATCTCAATAAAGCTGAAAAACAAGAGTGGCCACAGAGGAGAGAGATGGTCAGTGGAGCCCGGGACACTGCACGGGATAGTGCTCATGCTGAGGTGGAGACCGCACCCCTTCTTGCCCTCCCTGGCACCCACGGGGCTCATGGGGCTGTATGTGCCAGACAGACATGGAGGAGGTCGCTCACAGTTCTCTTTTGGGAGATAGAGATCTGTAGTGATTTTGGACCACGATGCTGGCCGGCTTCCCGTCTACTGTGTCAGCAGCACTGCTGGACCTGAGACGTACTCAGAGTCATCAATGTGACAGCAGCAAATGGAATTCAGTGCTCAGAGGTGAGGGGTTCCTGCTCTGGCACTGTCTGACCTGGGCCATTTCCTTCCGGTATGGCTCGGGGACCTGTTTGCACGCCCATAGTCGGGCTAGACAGCTGGGGACTGCTGATGGACATGAAGCTAATGTACTCTGTGGCTTGTATCATTAAAAAAAAAGAAGAAGAAGAAAAGAAAGAAACTGAAAATGTATCCTGGCTTCTGAGCCACAGTGCAAATTGAAGAATTATATTTTCATGCGGTGGGTTTAGCTTGCGCCTCAGACCAACTCACATACACTGTATGAGTTGTTTTTGAACGGAACTCTAGTTCTTCACACTTGTCCACAATAGTCATTCACACTGCTGGGTTGGCAGCTAGCCCCTACCATTTGAGGCTGTTTCTCTATGGCCTGTAACTGTTATAATAGCTCCTCTTACCTTTGTGTTTGTGATCCAGCTGACATCGGGAGGACGGCCACATTACTACGTGTCCTACCGGAGGAATGCCTTTGCCCAAATGAAGCTGCCCAAATATGCTTTGCCCAAGGTATGACCTGAATGGATTTCTTCATTTCAGTATTTTTCCAGTTCCCATATTCTCGCCTTCACCCCTTTCCCAAGGACCCTCATATTCATTTATCTCTTCTCATCCCCCCATGAACGTTTTTCAACTTCTCTCTCTCTCTAATTCTTGCTATAGGAGCATCTGAATAGATTGTCGACTGATTTGCTTTTGTTTTTAAAGATTTTCAAGCAGTATGTATGGGTATTCTAGAAAGACAGAAAATAGGCTTTGGATACACGTTCTATCAGTACAACAGGTGTGATACGTTTCTATCCCATTTTATTGTTAATTATTGAGAGGTGGTGCATCTAGATGACACCCAACCTTTGCTTTGTCTCTCGATGGAACTTATGAGACTGGTTTTAGAGTTCTGAGGCACAGCTAATTTTTTGGACTTCCCCAAAGACCTACTCCTTTGAAAATAATGACAGACAAAAGTTAAAGACCCTCTCAACTGCTGACATCCAGAAACACTGAACAACTGTGTTAATATGGAGCACCACCTAGTGGAGGACAAACTGACTTGGGAGCTCAAAGTTATGTGGATTTGTGGTCTGAAATAGTTAATGTATTGTGTCTTGATCTTAGAGCAAGGGAGGTATGTATGGCTGTAGGAGGGGACAGTGCAGGTTTAAATGTAGTTGTAGCTCAGCTTTGCAACCTTTAGGTTGGACAAAGAACATAGGGAACTTTTTTTGATTGAGTGTTCATGACTCCTTATCTTGTGTTTTTATCCATGACTTTGTAGTATGCTGTCCTGGACCAACACCAGCTAGCTGCCCGGAAATCATGGGATAGCACAAGGACATCACAGGTCTCCTCTTCCAGGAGAGCCGGTGGTAGCCAGTTGCTCTGGCCTCTACAGGCAGAATTCTCCTTCTTGGCCATCACTCTGCCCCTAAGCCTAGCAGGATAGTAAGGTGGGCTGAGACATTGGCCCATTCAAGATAACTACACACATTAAATTGCACTGTTGACTCCAGGGAGCAATATCCATGTTAGTAGTTCTTATTTCCAGCTGCTAAGAGATTAATGACAGTGGTAATTGCCCAGAACTATATGTCTGTGACTTATACACTTAAATGCTCCCTGCTCTTGATTCAGCTTAAAGTGTTTTCAAAAAGACAAGCACTTACAACTTTGGACTTGTGCCTCAGATGAAAATCGGGTAAAGTCCATATGTAAAATTAAATCTGACTGTTGTTAAAATTACACTGGATAATCTTTTAGGAAGGTCCATGAGGGATATGATCATGCCTCCTCAGTAAGTCCAACAGAGCCATTTTGGTTTTTTTTTTTCTTCTTTCTCCTTGAGTGCTGAAATAAATTGCTATTTCTTTGATTGGTCAGCAAATGCAGTTTAGCTTGCAAGATTTACACCTTTAAAAATAAGAATTGAAGTCAATGCAGGGAGATGCTCTCCCTCAAGAGGCATGTGGGAATTGAGACCAAATCAGGAAGCAGCAGATATGAGTCACTCCTCTTGTGTTCTCTCCTGGGAATATACTCTTTGTGTGGAGTAAGTCCCAGCCAAACCAAAAGCTGTTTGCAGCCCAAGTGAGGCAAGCACTCAAGTCTCCTGAGCTCCCAAACTGGCATCCTTTGTATTATACTTTTCTTCTCTTGAAATAAATTAATAGCTTACTATTAGAAGATAGCCGATCCCCCACAAATTTTGATATACTGGAGGACCATCAAAACAAAATGTCCTGTGGACCTAAGGAGCCCCAGGAATGGTCATTTAAAACCAAAGAACCATCTTTGGATCTCTTGCTGGAGTGTTAGGAAACACATCCTTTGTGTTGCTTGTTCATAGCCATCACACGGATCACTGTTGACACTTGCCCCCAGTGACATCCATCCATTCTGGAAGGAAAAGTGATACTTTTACCCTGAATCAGCTGTCTGTCCCCTCCCCTTGCTATCCCAGATGAGCATGCTCCATTACTAGCCTCATCCGAGGTATGAGGGTAGAACGCCATGATTAATTTCTCTCATCCCTAGAAAAATAGGAGCCAGCACAGCAAATGAACGTATTATGTGGTCCAAACAGGTGTTTATTATTTAAGGCAATGAGACGTCTCATTACAATCCCATTACACCTTCAAAGAATAGCCCCAGCTTGGGTGGAGCGATCTGCCAGAAAGGCGCCTGTATTTCACGGCCTTCTATCAAAGCCAGGGCTGCCTTGGCTGAAAAGGAACAAAGCTTTATGCCCACCAAAGGAATTGAGACAAACCAGCACTTTCATGATCAAATTTTCTGTAATCATCCACTGCATTGTATCAGCTCTTGAAAGACCATGGTTATCCTGAGCTGTGTTAAAAAAATAATAATAATAACATAATGGTAACACTGACGGGAGAGGGAGACGGGGAGACTTTAATGTTGCGGCCGCTATTAAAAGCATGAGCCCTCCCCCCAACCCGGGCTGGGAGACATGGTGACAGTTTCCTTGCCTTAACTTATGTGCAGCTCATTCTGAGCTACTCAAGGTAGATGAATGAGGCAATACATATGAAAGTGCTTTGAGCATTTTGGAGGACAGATACTCTATAAAAGCAAGGTAATATTATTATCAGAATGGATCTAGTTGTCTCTGTGGTGGGAGATCGATGGGAACAGGGGCGTGGGTGGTGCAGAGGTTGGTTGGCAGCAGAAGGCCCGGATTCCAGACCTGCATCTGCCACTAACCTGCTTTGAAGCCTTCAACTGGCTTACCAATTTCACTTTCTCTGTGTTTTGTTTGTGTGTGCTTTTGTTTCGTTTTGTTTTTACATGTTTAAAATAAAATAAATGTTACTCTGAATAAAATATCCTTAGAGATGCTTCACGAAAATTTGGCTCCATGATCAGATAAGCTTAAGAAAAAAATAAACTCCATTCTATGCCCCTTGCCTCAAGAGTAATGGTAGGTCACTGGTGTCAAAAGCTCTAGGATGTCCTGTGAGCAAGAAAACTCTATAACTCAGCATTAATCAAAACATTTTATAAAGGGATCCATTAAAAAAAAAAGTCTGTTAGAACCCATCAATGCTGATGTCCTATGGAACAGATTTTGGGAAACACTGTAGTAGAAGATCTCAAAGGTCACTTCTTGTTCTAAAATTTTGTGTCTCAGTAAAAGTATTGAACATAAAGTGCCACTTTATGTAGAAAGAGTGTATTTTCCTGATAGAGGAGAATGTAGGCAAGAAGAGAAAAGAAAGATGACATTTAAATATGTCAGATCTTTCAATTAAGATATCTGAGACCAACATTTTTTAAGTCTCTTCAGTGTCATTGGATTATATGGAGAGAGAGAGAGAGATCTGATCTTGGCCCTTATCTAGAGATGGCCTTTTGAATCTGTTATTGTTACTTGACTAGTTCTCTAGGTGACCTTGAAGCACTGTTTAGTTCCGAATCTATAAAATAAAAATTTGCATGAGTTGGGATAATATAGTTGATGTATCTAGCCCCTAGCATTTATTAACAAGATATCTGTGATGACCCGGACTTCAGAGGTTCACCAGTGCACAGATTCACTCCAAAGGCACAGAGGTGGGCAATAGTTACATGGGGGCCAGATCTGTGCTTCAATATTTTGAATTGAATTCAGGGAAGATGCTGCATCCTGCTTACTAGTGAATTGGGAGCAGTTATGTGAGGATTCCAAATGGCAGAATAAATATTTGGGTCTTTGTCTTTCAGGAAGTGGGGAGCCATAGAGAGTTTGGCCCTCAGTGGTTGAATGGCCCTTGGGCTAATTTCCATAGCTAATCCCCTCCATTACAAAGAAGCAAAATACTTGGCATGAACCACTTTTTATTAAGTATACTAGTTAGCCCGCCAACATTTGCAGTGAACAGAAAAGCCAAATCAACCTTGCTTCATCAACAAAGGGGATTTAAGGGCTTGCATAATTGAGAATAGCTAGCATGTATGGAACAGATGCTATGTGCCAGGCACTATTCTCAGTGCTTACCACTTAGTAACTGATTTAATCCTCATAACTCCGTGGAGGGCACACTAATATCTCTGTTTTGCAGGTAGAAATTCTCAGACACAGAGTTTAGTTCACACAGCTAAGTTATAGAGGGAGGATCTGAACTCAAGTAGCTTTACTTCAAAGTCCATTCTTTTAACCATTTTGTTCTACTGTTCTCTCTAACTGAAAGGTTTACAGGTGGGGCAGGCTTCTTAGCTGTCCACATTCAAAGGCTCAAAGACTTTCACAGAATGTGGCCTATCTCTCTTCCTTTTGAGCCTATTTTCTTCAGGACTGGCTTCATCCCCTGCTTCCCCTTCAAGATATGCCTTCATCAGATCTAGACTTTTTTTTTTTTACTTTCTGATAATACCAGTGTCATTGTAGAATTGTTTCTTATTGACTTCGTGTTGCATACCCATCACTGATCCAACCACTGTGGTCAGGGACATTGAATAATCTGAATGCTAAGCCAGTAAGCTCTTTTCTGGTGTTGAAGGTAGCAAAACGTAGCAAAGACTAAGTACAGGAAGGAAATTTGTCTGAGAGTAATAAGGGTGTTTTTCAAAGAACATTAACTACAATTATCAGAAGAAATGGAATAGACATTTGACTGATACAAGCAATGGCCAACTTCCATACCAAACATAAGTTTGCATTATTGATTCACATTGAATTAATGGGAAGGATTCATTTTTGGCCTCCCACTCTGTATTCTTTATATAAAAGCATTACCAAACTCTAGAGCATGGCATGTGAGACCCAAGTAGGGGTGAGGAATATGAAACTCTGTGGATGAAGACTTCTTCCTTCTGGGATCATTGGAGTTCACTGTGATCATGGTAAAGGAGGGAGAGACTTGTTCCTATATGTTTAGAGCAAGGTCCAAGCTGAATTGCTGATCGTTTGGTTGAGAGAACATGGGCATATATTATAAGGAGAAATGTAGGTTAGAAGTTAGGTAGAACTTTCTAGCACTGAAATAATTGCCGAAGAAGATTGGAAGTTCCCCTGAAGCTTTTCAAGGATGGAGAATGATCCATCTGGGAAGATTTGAGTACTAAGCTACACAAAAGCCAAGAATCTTTCCATACTGTTCTTCAGTCTTTATGCTTATTTTTAATTCTGTTTTTGTTTTGTTTTGATTTTTGGTTTTTGAAAGTTACACCAGTGTCTGCTGCCTTGAGTAAAGGCAGTAGGCAGCTGCCAAGAGCTTATGCACAGAAGACGGCAAGCCTTGGTCTGAGACAGCAAGCCTTGGTCTGTGTCAGCCTCCCCTGAACATCTACTTCTCTGGAGTTCTGAATGGGGAAGAAAGGGTTTGGAATTCCCATCCCTGGGACATGTGCTCACTGCTTCCACATTACCTTTGCCTTGGACTACCAGAGTCTGAAAGGAGGCCTCTTTTTTCCTCTCTCACTTAAGTTTCCCTGCTGAACTTCTCAGAGTAAAGGTTTAGATAAGCCACTTAGTCCTTGAACACTCATTGATGTGAAGATGAGTGCTTTGGGGTGATTCTCAGGTGAATGTTTTCCTCAGGGGCTTCTGGGAGTTGCTGAGCCTTAGGGAATGTTTCTCAAACTTTCATGTGCATATAAATCACTCAGATTTTATTTACATACAGATTTTTGATTCAGTAAGTGAGGCCTGAGATTCAGTGTATCTAACAAGCTCACAGGTGATGCCCATGCTGGTGGCCCATGGACCACTCTGAGAGAAGCAGAACTTACCTATTTTCTCTCTGTCTCTCCAACTTTTCCTCATATTTGCCCCACATAAGCCTTCTGAACACGTACCATGTTTGTGCCTGGCCAAGTATATCAGGATGACTGATTCTCCAAAGTTATACATATTTGAGAAAGTATTCTTCAATTATCTAATGAGGTAATTAAATTATAAGTGAGCTACCAGGCATCTCTCTGCCCAATTTTCTCATGACCTTATGCCTAACCCCACAAATGACAAAGGAAATGATTAACATTTACCTAATTAATTATTATTCATGAATATACAAAAGGAAAATTTTTATCTTCCATGACAGTGCCTAAGAGCCTATTCTGGTATTCTTCATGAGATTCCACTCTCTTTGGACACATGCCATGTTAACATATGAAGCTCTTCATCCTTTTCACTTCTCTGTGTCTTTCTTCAGGACATGCACGTCATCAGCACAGATGAGAATCAAGTGTTTGCAGCAGTTCAAGAATGGAACCAAAATGACACCTACAACCTGTATATCTCAGACACCCGTGGAGTCTATTTCACACTGGCCTTGGAGAATGTCCAGAGCAACAGAGGTCCTGAGGGCAACATCATGATCGACCTCTATGAGGTATGTCACAAGGCATGTGAAATCCTGAGCCCCTGCAGTGCCTGGGCTGGCAGTTAGTAAGGGCCCACCATTGGCTGTCGCCTCCATCATTTTAATTCCTAGTTCCTTATATGGCCTCATTTCATTTGGGAGAGGGGAGGATTTGTAGAACATTTTTATTGGTTAATTTGCATTCCACACAACACCTCTGGGAGGAATCATTTCTTGATGAAGTCCACAGTCCATGAAGTCTCCGGGGACCTGGAGAGAGTGTCTGGGGAAGCAGTCAAACAATTGAAAGGTTTGAACAAGGGTGATCCTAGTGTGAAATTTGAAAATAATCTTGAAGGGCAAACAGGGTGTCAGAGTTTGAGCAAAGGGGCAGTGGGCATCCTCCTTTCCCCTCTGAAGAAGGAACAGGGCGGCGGAAAGGGGCGGGGGAGAAGATACTCCCATTGGACCTGAGTACCTTTCTAAACTGGTAACTTCCACTGGCTAATTGTGGGCCAGTGAGTGAGACAGAAGTGATAGGTCTTTCTCTCCTAAATGGGAAGGGGGGAGGCAGAGACAAAAAACAAAGTCTACCATATTTCCCTAAACAGCTATGGCCCTTTGTTTCTCAAAATGACCAGGATACAAAATAAAACCAAATATACTAGATTGCTTAGCTTTCATAACAAATACCAACACTTGAATGCCATTTAAAGCATGGCTAGGTAGAAAGCAAGCTGCTATTTGGGGATGAATTTTAGCCATTTGTCAGTCTTATCTTGTACCATAAAGGATTTAAAATGGGTTATAATGAACCATTACAAAATGTATTCAGAATTTGGGAAGTGCACTCATTTACCTATATCCTATCTGAAAAAAAATCTGATTCAAATATGTGCAATCATAATGATGCTGTCTTTTGGTTGAGTATAAGTTCATAGAGTCAAGAGGTTGTTTATATAATGAGAGGCAAGGGAATGATATCTAGTATATTAAAGAAAGAAACCAATTTCATTTAACAAATTTAAACCTATCATTGTGATTCCTTTTAATGCTGTCTACCCATCCCCCTTCTCCTTTAGCGGCTCTTGGGGATTTTCTTCTAGTGTCTAAACTTTTCTGTATGTATAAAGTCATGTTAACAAACTTACATGCCCCATTCAGAGCCCAAACTAGCGTGAGACATAGTTTGTGTGCATATATTTAGAAAAATACACCATAGACTTTTTTACACATTCACAAAGTTTTTCCACTCTTTTCCTGCCTATGTTCCAGATAAATATAGTAGTATCATGTATCTCAGCCTCAAACTGAACATGTATTCTGGAAAACATTTACATATTCTGGTGATTTAGTTTCAAATTCATGTTGGATAAAATTGTGATTTAAAGTATAAATTTTGCAGTCAGGATGTCTGGATTTATATCCCAGCTACACCACATGTAGTCTTCTAGAGACAAAACCAAGAACTTCCAAGCCTCAGTTTCCTTGTTTAAAATATGGAGCTATATATACATGGTACCTACTTGATAGAATTTCTGAGGATTACTTAAGTTAATCTTCTTACTGTATGTACTATGAACAGTGCCAAGAATGCATCAATGTTCAACAAATTATAGATAGCATAATTAATATTATATTCCAATGAAGTTAAGCCCCCATACAATGTTCTGTTCCTATAGTCTTAAAATCTACCCACATTTTTTAAATATCTAACACACTTCCACACTTTTGGATCTTTGTTTCTTCCCATATTGCACTTAGCATGGCCATAGGATGTTGCTTAATGCCAACTAGTCATCTTCTTATAAACAAGTGTAAATTACCACATTTCTTTCCTCATTTGTAAATGTCGTGCAAACATTTAAATTGTTAGTGTGTTTTGTTGAAATGCCATGCATTTTCATGGCTGATTTCAGCACTTACAATGGAAATATTTGCTTCAAGAGTCTGATAAGAAGTCAAAGCAGCTGCCCCAGATCAATCACCTGGTTTGCTTCCCTGGCCTTGACTCTGTCCTTGTTCTCCCAAAAACATTTTCTCATTTTCAGGTTGCATTTTTCCCTTTTTGATTAACTCCTCCCCTCTTTTCAAGTCATTGTGAAAGTGTTTTTTCTGGGATAAATTTTGTTTTCTGCCAAAACAGAGACCATTCTAATTGGTCCCTTGATGATGACAAAAGATGACAGATTTGGACAGGGGCAGCTTTGCAGTGTCCCGTTATTTACACCTGTTTTCATGAATGGTTTTCTGAATTCAGATATTGCTAACAGGTATGGAATGAGAAGAGGAAACAGGGTAACTTCTGGACATGGCAAATCACTTCTTGATTAATCCTTGTGTTTCCCTTTTGTGTCTCTCTTGCAGTTGACTGTCCGTAGGACAACTGCTTGCTCTTATCATCATCATTGTGAGCAGTGATGTGACTGCATTATGTAAAGGTGTTCTGCATCCTGGGGCCTGGGAAGAAGAGTCTTTGGTTTTATTAGCCTGACAGTTTGCAGCAACTTGAATTGAAATTGATGTGATCAGAACGGCGGTGCCGTATCTGCTGATTACCTAGATAGAAAGAATATTGGCTGACATGGAACCTGGCACAAATGCTCCTTAAATCTGATTGTTCTGGCTAGCAGGAAGCTGAAAGCCATCCAGCATGAATCTCCCAGTAGAATTGCAATGAATGATGAGTGCTTAGAGATAAATGAAAAGTAAGAAAATCCATAAATGAATTAATGAGGAGCATAGATGAGCAACATATGAGGTAGGGGTGACAAAGATAGAATATATGGAGTGCACGTCTGCTCACATTTGGGGGTGACTGAGGAGGATGGCATGAGTTCTTTGCTTGTATGCTTCTGCATGCCAACGACCTGCCATTCCTGTGTGTTCTTTAAGCTTTTCAGCAGAGGCAAACTGTGCAATGTATAGCGGTATGAGTCTGTGTATCAAGGAGATGTATTGTTGATGAGTCTTTGTGAAGCATATTTCTCATTAAATTCAATCATTTTGTTCACATACACACATTGAAACTTTACAACAAATGTGGCTCTCTCTGCCCTAGAGGTACATGTATGCATGTGATTTTGGGGACAGAGTGTTGGATGACATCTTACATGGTTTAATTATTCAAATACCAGAATTTTCCTTCAGAGTCAGTTGACTACTGAACATGAACCACATTCAAAAGATTCAAGAAATATTAGGCAGGAAAGTTGGCCACAGAGCAAAAATGCTGGATAGTGATTTTTGTTGATGCAAGTTCATAATAACAACAGATAATATTTTGGGTGCCAGTAAGTGCCAGGCACTGTGTAAAGAACTTTCCATAATTATCTCATTCAATCCATGTATTAACTTTATGATGCTAGGACTATAATTACTTCCACTTTAAACATAAGTAAATGGAGGCAGAAAATGCTATCATTTTTGCAAGATTACAGTGCTAGTTGTGGCAGAATTAGGATCTGAATCCTAGAGTGTGCAAACTCTTAAGAACAAACTATTTGTGTCTCTCGAAAGATTTGGGCTTGTATTTGATTGTGGCCCAGTAATAGCCCTTAGACTGGAGGTCATTGAAGGGTAGAATAAATAGTATTAGACTTTACCTAGAAGTAGAAGAAACCAGGCAAGAAAAATAAAACAGTCTTGAAAAAGCCAACATAAACAGAATCCACAAATGATAGCTCTGGACCTATTCCACCTTCTGACCCAAGTCCTGAGTCTGCAGTTAATAGCTCAATTCAGGCAATACTGTCATTATGCATCCCAATTTCGTCTGGTGGATGTGTTTCCATAAGAGAAGCCCAGGAACAAGCATCCTAAAATTCTGTCATTCCTGAAAGCACAAATGCTCCAGCGGCATCACGTGGGATGGGTAACAGAAGATGGTGCCTGATGGTGGCCAGAGCAAAGGAGACATGATGAGTGTGTCTGAGACGTGTGATTCCTAGTGTTTTCGTCTGGTGTGGTTGATGAGAGGGGGTCTGACAGCTTTGGACAATATCCTCCCTCCTCTGGGAATAGAGTATCAATTAATGATGATGAAGAGCACTTTGGCTTAATGGACAATGACAGTTCACCCCAGCCAAGTAGAAAGGGTTGTGTTGGGAGTGAAGCCACCTGGCTGGCACATTCGGAATGCACAGAATGTGCGCACACATGAGTGAGCACAGTGGGCATCATGGAAGACATAACCAACGAGCAGTGCATGTTTGGTTACACACATCGTGTCTTCTGCACATGATGAGTGCCCCCTCTTTAAAAGAGAAAGCTCAGCAGTTGTGACGATGTACTTACACCTTGATTGCTTGGGGAAAGGTGCCTCTTACAATCCAGCATAGGAGGTGGAGAAGAAAAATGCTCTCCCTTCCGGGGCATATTGCTTACAGGACATGGAATATTACCGTCTAATTATACTTAAGGCTACTCTCTCCTTAGGAGAAGAGTTCTGCCTGGTTAAGTCAGTAGAGGGAAGAAAAGAATACTCGGGCATTTGGGGGGGAGTGGGTTCCTTGATTGCAAAGTCACCTCTGGCCTTTCTCCCTCTGAGTTTGTGTTTCTCCTGGCTGCAATCCTCTCTTTAGAACAGAAAAATATCCTATGTCCAAAGCCCAAAGAAATTATGGTCACGGATACGTTCTCTTTCTTGCCATGCTTGTTGATTCATAATTTTTATTCTCTTCTAATTTTGACACCTCGGCTTTGTAGTTGCAGTCTGAGACAGAGAGGTTGGGAGGGGTCATCTCCCAGTTAAGCAGTAGAGTCAGAAACAAGCAGAAACTCTCGTTCGGGGGTCTTCCCAGCTTAGCCTCCGGTGGAGCACGTGAAAGAAAGATTGAGGTACAAGAGCGCTCTGTAGAGATGCATATAAAAAACAAAGGAAGTGGGTGGGTGGAGACATATCAGCATGTTATCCAAGGGAGTGGGAGACAGCCTGTATGAACCCGGGGAGTGAAATAGGAGAAGGGAGGCCAGCAATGTGAAGCTGGCTCCCAGGGGCCCACTAAGTGTGCGGATGTGCTTTGTGGTGGCTTGAGGTTTAAGCTGTAACGCTTCATATTTAAAGTCTAATCAGAATGGTGTTTTGGCTCCTATGAGATTAGAGAATAAGAAATAATAACTAAATACCTTTGAGACTTCTGGTATCACACTCCCCATATGAGAGGCAAAGAAAGATAAGTGGCTTCTCAACTCACTCAGCATTTTTGAGCAGAATTCAGAAAGGTAAAAAAGGTAACAGGTCTTTCCCCAAAGGAAGACAGACTCCCTGATGTGAGTGTCATTGCCACAGGAATATCATTCTCAGAAACTGTCCGTGTTCACATGAAGGCATGTCTTCGTCGGGAATATTACTTTTGCCCATCCTGCGCCATCCCTCAGCCCTACCCTGTTCCACACAAATATGCACATACTATGAATACTGAGGTTGTCTGGCAACATAAACCTATCCCCCCATCCTCAGTGGAACCCCAGACCTTATACATACATATGCACGTACATGTACCCACCAGTACACACACATTCCATATGCTGGGCACTGACACTGCTCCCTTGATTTCCAAAGTGATATCCAAAATAAGAGGCGAGAGGTTCCAAGAAATAGAAGATGAGACCTCACACAGGAGCCCTTGAGGAACGTGCTTTATGCCTAGAGGGGCACCAAGACACCCAGAAAGATGGGCTTCTCAGGCTCAGAGCAAAAGGAGGAGTGGATGGCCCAAGAAACTAAAGAGCCAGGGTGACCATCTCTGCAGAGCAGACCAAAAAAGCAAGAAAAATAAAAAGACACCACACATGGGATTTTCACAGATACAGTGCCTTGGCCACAAGAGGAAAATAAGCAGACCCACTCCAGCTTTGTCCCCTATTGTCACCCATTGCCTCTGCTTTGGCAAGTTTTTATTCCCCAAGATAAACCCGAAGGCCAGGCTGCCAAAGATGAATTTCAAAGCGCAGCTTTCCACTCAAGTGGCATTTGATAATGCCAAGCAGTTGGGGGCCAATGAAGTCACCGCTTCTGCAAATCAAATGAACCCAGCTCCTAAACACATATAACCCTGCTCTGACACTCTTGCCAAAAGAGGGAGAGGCAGGAAGGAAAATGGGCAAGGAAACTACTGGAATAGGTAATAATTTCATTCTTTCTGTGCTTACCGTAACCTAGAGTGTTGAATGGTTAAGACAGCATTGTTTCTCATGGACGAGTATGCTGTGGAGAGAAAACGAGCATGACTTGTGAAAATTCTGATTCATGAAATTTCGTTTTTAAAGAACTGGCAGTTTAGTCATATTTAAATATGTAACAGCCTCTGGAACATATGCAGAACCAATATGGGGTTCCCTGGTGAGCAGTCCTTATGGAGCTGGGATAGTGAATAACTAAATACTATTCATAATTAACATACCATCTTTGGGAGGTACAGTGCCCCTGGAATTTATGTCTCCCACATTTGTCGAGGATCAACAATGCATAAGAAACTGCTTGCTGTTGATTGCCCAAAATGAGGCTTGTTCTCCTAAGTAGTTCAAAGTATTCCTCCCAGCTACTTGTTTATGCCATTTATTTGCTTAACAAACATGTTGTTCCAAAGGAATACAAAGTTGGCCCAACTCTAAATTATCCCATATGCCACATCAGCAGGTACAAACTAATGAGGTTTGACTGTGTCAAAAGCCAAGGTAAAATGTACATACTCTGTTGATCGAAACCCAACCTCTTTGAGTTGAGAAATTCAGAGCTGTATTTGTTAAAAGAACATAGGAAGTTGGACAGATTTGAATGTGAGCCCCAACTGTCCGTTATCATAAGCAATTAAATTTTGTCTACGCATCAGTTTCTTCATCCATAGAATCTGGGCCGTAGCTATGAGGCAGGTTTGTAGTGAATATCGGAGGTTTGGTATATAAATCACTGGGCATAGTGCTGGGTGGATGGCACGGACTCATGCTCTTTTTTCACTCTTCTGCTTAAAAATGTTCATATTCTCCTGTAAAGGGCCTGAGATAAGTGGGTTCAAATATACTTGTTAGCTTGTCCACTTACTACCACCATCTGTGCTCCACAAAACCACTCATTCTAAGCTTGTTTCCTTATCTTCAAAATGTGGCTGCCGGTAACTCTATCTCACGGTTACCGTGGGCGTTAAAAGGGATGGCCTGCCCTGTTGCACACATTCAGATCCTTCTCTCACTGGCCCTCAGTCTTCCTGGGTTGTCATAATTCCAAGTAGGGTAAAATGGGTATGAATGCATTTAATACACCCGAAGACGCTTGAAAAATACGGTACACAAGTCATGATTTGTTATTTCACAGCTTCATCAACTTACCCAGTTGACCTCTTTCCTCAAGTATGGAAGAGAGAAGGCAATCATATTGTCAGAGCCAAGTAATTAATGCGGACTGGTTATAGTGGGAACAAGGTGTTATAGGAACGGAGGAGGGAATGATTTCACAGCTTAGGGAAACCACTGCTTCTTTATGTTGAAACGCTGTTCTCTTTTGTTCAGTATGTTCCAGTGGCTTAATAGAGCCATCTTTTTATAGGAAAAAAAAAAGGGGGGGGGAAACAATAGCAATTGGATCATGAGCTTTAAACTGACCTTGTTTTCAATTGCCCCAGGCTGTAGATAGCTCAGTGACTTAGATAGTTGTTAAGAGCATGGCCTGTGAAGCCATCAGCTCTGGGTTAAAATTCCAGGTCTGCCACTTACTCTCTGTGTACCTTAGGTGGCATGACCTTGGAGAAGTCACTTTACCCGGATGAGCCTCGGTTTCCTCATACGTGAAAAAGAATAGGTTATACTTAGCCAAGAGGATTGCTACAAAGATTAAATGAGATCGAGTATTTAAGAGCATGGGCGCTATGCCTAACATAAAATTAAAGTAGCCCTATGTATGTATCATTTACCAAGCAGCAGAACTGAAAGCACCAGATTGTAACTCTAGGCGATGGCAAGCTACCACTAACCTACCTTAGAGGAAATAAGAAGCTTCCATCAAACTTAGAATATAACCGCCATACCATAAGGGGCATGGATATATTGCTTTTCTGTCCCATAGTCCAGGGAGTCATTATACTTAAGCATTACCCCCTTCCCCCATCCTCACCCTCTCTTTTCTCCAAGACAAGTGCTTAAGCTGAATTTGACAGTCTGCATTTTTTTAAGTAAACAAATATATCCTATCTCAAATTGATGTATTTTTCAGCCATGTCAATTTTTCCCAGGTAGCAGGGATAAAGGGAATGTTCTTGGCTAACAAGAAGATTGACAACCAAGTGAAGACTTTCATCACGTATAACAAAGGCCGAGACTGGCGTTTGCTGCAGGCGCCGGACACGGATCTAAGGGGGGACCCTGTGCACTGCTTACTGGTGAGTTTTCACATTGGAGAAGAATGTTCCGCACAGCGGAGGGCTGGAAGTGGATATTAAACAGGCATATGAAGTGGGTTCCAGGGCTCGTTGTTCAGTTGGTGAGCAAAAGGGGACAGGGCTGGGCGTGAAGGCACTATGCTGCCTTATATGCTGGGCCAGAGAGGTAAGAGGGCATGAGTGGGTTCCTTGCTCACGTCAAGGATTTTGGGTTGTGACCAAGTTCTGTTGAGAACCTCAAATTGTAGTTTCAGGGAGAATGTGATAGTTTCCTTATATGGTGGGGATATACACCTTTACTTTCCCATGAATGGCTTGTTACATATCCAAGGATGCATAAATTCAGCTACAGAACTGATGAACTGAAAGGAGAATTTTGTAGATGTGTTTTCCAGCAAAGGTGTTTAGTCACATTTTCAGAAGAGTTTATGCCTCAAACAAGGGTAAGAAGCACTGATCTAAACCCTCTTTTGTACTCTTTGTAATATGTTCTGTTCATCTATGTCTCATTCCGTGAAGCTGGGGTTGGTAAACTATATGGCCTGTGGGGCCAATATGGCCCGCCAGTTGTTTTTCTGAATAAAGTTCTACTAGAACACAGTCATGTTTAGTTATAGACCCACTGTGGCTGCTTTTGCTCTACATGGCAGAACTGAGTAGTCACAGCAGGAACTGTATGGTCTATAAAGCCTACAGCATTATTATCTGGCCCTTTAAAAAAGGTTTACTGTCCCCTCCTTTGAAGCATGGTGTTCTTCTCAGTGTCTAACATTTGGACACTGAGTAGATAGATGAGCATGAATTTATCTATGTATTTGATTATACGAAGGTGTCTTAGGTGTTATATCTTAGGTGTTATGTCTTAGGCCCTGTATTCACCATTATTTCTCTTAAAATGTGTTTGTTGACTGTAGAGTTTACAGTCTACTTGAAAGAGACTAGATTAATAAATGCAAGATTAGAGGGTCACATCTCACTCCTCATCGTAGCTCTGGTGCTGGCCCATGCTTGACACATGAATAGATACTGACTGATGCAGAGGAAGGGAGGAAGAGATTAATAATTGCAAAACGAAGTATACTTAAGTGCTAATTTCTCTGAAATAGTTTATAAAAAGGAGAGATCAGTATATAAACAGGGGAGTCTTCTTCATTTTAGTATGAAGGGTTTGGTTGTGTGTCTACACACACACACACACACACACACACACACACACACGCATCAGTGTTGTGGTCTTCATACAATTCTGACCTTGATGTTATCCACACTCAGCTTGCTTTGTCCCATCAAGTCTGAACAGTCCTTTTGCAGGTTCATCTCATACCGCTGTGGGCGGGTCACCCTCCCACCCAAGAAGATGCCAGCAGCTGTGGCTTGACCTAATTAGTTGCAAAGGATATCATGGTTGTCACTGTGCATCAGCAAAGCAGTCTAAAATTCAGCCTCTCACTCAGCTTCTACCCTTATTACTGGCAACTTACAGGGGGAGAAAAGCCAGTTGTTATCATAAGTGCACAAAGCCAGTGACAGAGTAAGGAAATGTAACATTTATTGAATACCTACTCTGTACAAGGCACTGTTCAGTAGCATTTTAAAAAACAGAGCCACCTTCCTAGTTCTACTCTTCCAAGTTGCGGCATCATGGTACTTAGCCAGAGAAGCATGGGATGCACCAGTGCCTCAGTGTAGTCCTCCTTCCCACCATGCACTTTGGAGATTAAATGCCCATGAGACAGAATTAACCAAAGCACCTGAAGAGGCTTGCCTGTGATCACTCAGGCATCATAAATGGCTTGTGACAAATGCCTCTGACACACAGAGCACTTAGTGAAGTGCTTCACACTCCACCTCCAGCCCAGTTTTAGGAACTTTTTTTATTTTTTTTAAGATTTTATTTATTTATTTGAGATAGAGAGAGCATGAGTGGGGGGAAGGGCAGAGGGAGATGGAGAAGCAGACTCCCTGCTGAGCAGGGACCTGGACTTGGGGCTTGATCCCAGGACTCTGAGATCATGACCCAAACTGAAGGCAGACACTTAACCGACTGAGCCACCCACGCACTTAGGAAGGCTTACTGCCATGCCTCCAAAATATAAATGCAGTATCAGCTTGCTTACCCATCTCCACTGGGACTGTCCTAATCCAAGCCACCATCATTTCTCACCTGCCCTACAGTGATGGGCTCCCAAGTGGTCCTCCTGTCTCTACCTGGCAATCTCTTCTCCACACAGCAACCAATGAGATCTTTTCTTTTGTAATCTAACTTTACTGAGTAAAACATACATAAAAAAGTACCCGTTTTAAGAGTATAGTTTGACAAATCTTGACAAGTGTAGATACCTATGTGACCATTACCACAGTAAAGATAGAACATTTTCATCACCCTCAAAAATTACTTTGTGCCCTTCGCAGTCATTTTCCACTCCCCCCGGCCCTAGACGATCACAAATCTGCTTTTCTTCACTATAGATTAGATTTATCTTTTCTCAAATTGTATGTGTTAAATGTATTTTTATGTGTAAAAAGATTTATCTTTTCTCACATTTTATGTATTGAATGAGATCGACTTGACCTTTAAAAATTCAGATCTTATCCCTCCTTTACTTGAAGTTTCGAATAACTTTCTAACTCAGGTAGAATAAAGTTCCAGTACTTCACCATGGCCTGTGAGGTCTCATAGGGTCCGGCTCCTGTCTGCTTCCCCAACTTGCTGTCCAGCTTCTATCCCCCCGCCCTTCCTCACGTGGGCTACCCTGGGAGAGGACAGCACCTCTTTCCATACCTTGAGGTCACCATGCTTCTTTATGTCTTAGGCCCTGTATTCACCATTCTCTCTCTTAAAATCTCGTTTCCCGAGTCTGGCTTTTTCTTGGCTTTCAGATTCTTGCTTGATTACCTTAATCTCAGAGGCTTTCTTACGCTTTCTCAAAGGTGGTGCTTGGCCCAACTCTTTTTTACCCATGACCCTTCTCGTTCTCTGAAATCAGCACATGTGTTTGTTCACTGTCTTTTCTACCTCCCTCTGCTAAAATGTGAGCAGCATGAGTATAGGAACTGTGGCTGTCTCTCTGGCCACTCCAGAGAATCAGCTCAAGGATAACCACGTGGGAGGTGTTCAGCATGTGTTGTTGTTATGGGTATCGTTTGTCTGAAGTCGATGCTCCATTGACAGGTGGTGTTGGAGTTTCACATTCAGACTTGAGTGGAAACTTTCCCTTGCCACTGACAGCCACACTGAGGGATCTGTCATAATAGCCATCTGTGAAGCTCAGAGGCTCAGGCTGACCCTACAGTTAACAAAATCAGTAGGCTCATTAAGATCCAGCAAAGATGAATTAATGGGCTCTGGATGTGTGGCACCCAGGAGTCTTTTGGCCTGCCTCCCTCATTAACCTTGTTTGATGTAGTTTCAGTCTGAGTTTTAGAAAACAGGCTGAGGAAGTGAAATGGCAAAGGGAGTGGAGGGCAGGGACCAAAATCACTTATAAAAATCTGCCAAAGGCACAAAATAGGAAAGAAAATCTTTGAGCTACAGGAGACCCGGACCGTTAAAAACCTTCTTTAGGCTTGGGAGCTGGTGGCAGAGAGGAGATAAAAAGTGCTTTTAGATTGTGAGTACTTGGAAAGTGACAGTGTCCCCGAAAGCACAGCCTAGTGATTAGAAAGGAGATTTTCCAGCAGGGCTGTTACAAATGTGGAGCAAGTTCAGAATTACAGCCCCAAATGGAATGTCCCTGGTAAAATGCATTCTATAGAAATAACACATCCAGAGTAATTTGCGGCTGTATTTTTAGGACTTTTAGACTGATTGCCCGGAGGGCTCAGCTAGGATTTCTTTTTCTCTGAAGAGTGCATTGTACAGTTAGATGGGGTATTACAGGTCATGGTCCACCTGCCTCCAAAGCCTCAGGATTGGGCTCCCAAGAGGTGAGATGTGAGCTGAGCTTGTGACAAATGCTTTGGGTCCCTAGGGAAAGCATAGTGTTCTGTGGAGAGAAGCCGTGGCTTCTTTATGGATTCAGTTGACAGTTCTCTGTTGGAGCTAAGCGGCCAGCTACCCCAGGAGATTCTTGACTCTGCTTTCCATTCCTTTGCACAGGCTGTAACTCCACATGTTATGTTGGATTGGAGTGGAGCTGAATCTCCTCTTGGCCCAGAGCCCTCTCTCTTCTTTGCCATTGACTCTTTACTAAAAATCTAATGGATTTCTAGTTCCAATTCAGGATCATAAACAGCGCAAGTGTGTGTGTTCAGGGAGTGGATTTGGAGGATACTATTTAAGACTTTAGCTGCTGCCTTATTGTTTATAAAAGGTGCGATTTGGCTTTTCAGTGTAATACTCAGATTAGGAGCCCTAGGGATAAGAGTACTATGAAGACGAGACCTAAAGGCTGTTAGTACAGAGGTTGGGGAAAAGAGAAAGTGGAATGAGAAGCTGATTGATTCTCAAATATATCTAACAGTATTTTTAAGTTGATTTAATTCATGTTGGAGAGCATGTCTCCTATCATTTAGTAATTCTCCATTGGCCATCCACAGTGCTAAGAAGACAGCAGCTAATTAATGGATCAATTAAATCCAGCCAACATTTATTGAACACTAGCAATGGCCAAAGGATTTCACTGGTTAAAATAAGAAATAAAAGAATAAGGCAAAAGAAAGGTCATTGGGACCTAGAGGTCCATGATGGGCTTCAGGAGTCTGTGAGCTCCCTGAAATTGAACACAGAACTCTGTGTGCATTTGCCTTTGTGTATTTTTTCTTGGGATAGCGTCCTTAATTTGCCTCAGATCCTCAAACTCTAAACCTGATCCTGAAAAGATGAAAGACGAGAGATCTAGATGCTGCTAGGATTGACCAGTTGATGATATGCCATGCCCTGTGACTATGGGTGAAGACACAAAGGGCAATTTCCAAACTGTAAAGTCAGCTGCTAGGTCATGGTGGTCTCAGTGTACAGTGCTGTATCTTCTTCATGTGCAAAGATAAGGGGAATAGGAAGATGCCCTTGGGACAAAGTGTACTTTGACTCTACTGAGTTGCAGAGAACTCTGGAAAGATACTCACATATTTACGACATGGTTGGTAATGGGAGAAAAGAGGACGAGAAGGCTGGAGAGAGGGCAGGAAAGGAGAAAGGAGAGGTAAACAAAGTGCCCCCTGCCCGGGCACAATGTGCATAATTAGAGAGCCTTGTCCGGTGACCTGCAGGAATGGCAGTGGCTTGATAGCCATTCTAATAAACCTCTCTATTAATTTTTGGTGACTTAATTTTGACAGATGTCCCAAACTGGTCAGGTACAAAAGTTTAACTTCAAAAAGTAAAGATGAATCACTTAACATTGTTTTTCTTTGAGCATTGATGTAGACGATATAACTTCCTTGAAAAAAATGGAAGAAGGGGGATAAAAAGCCACGGAATATTCTCCTCATACCAGCTGGGGGCAATCCAGTACTGCAAATGTGAGAGTGGAAAAAAAGTGCACCAAAAAGAACACTTCTAATGTGGCTGCTACAGCCTGAACTGGTATCTTTCCTTCTCAAATTAATTTATTTCGAGCCTCTGAAAGCCCTAGCCGCAGAGCAGTACCGAGATGGCCGATTGAAAATGCCCTTTCCTTTGTAATGGCAAGTGCCCTGTCTCAAATAACCCTTGAGCAGGTCAGATGGCAACCGAGCTTCGCAGTCTTCGCGACTGTTGGCTGATGAAGTATGTGGCAAGCATCTGGCTCAGGATGGCAGACTGGGTGATCCCTTAGCCACGGATGTTCTGCTCTGTTGGGTGACACAAAAGGCCCTACAGGAAGCCCACGTGACTAGGCTAATCCCCGAGGAGTTCTGGACTTCTTGGAATGCCATGGAGATACTCAACATTAATCTGATGATGTGGTTTATACATTAGCCCAACGTACTTCTGGCATTGTTCTGAGTCAAATAGCCAACAAAGGTCTATCAGGTCCTCACTTATATAAAGCATTGCTTGTTACTTCAAGCATTTATTGACTATCTCTTTTAGATTCTATGCCAAGTTCCACAGAAGACTCAAAGTGTAGTACTTGGTGTTTTCTCTTTATTTGTAGAGTTTATCTCTTAGGGAGATAAAACTGTACATACCTCAAATAGATAATATGAGATTGCACATGATCAAATAAACCATTGTAAATCAGAGAAGGAGAGATCCCGATAGGCTGCAGCTGTCAGGAAAACTTTCATGGAGGCACGGTTTGCCATCTCTGCTTTTTCCTGTCTTAGCATCTGAGTGCAGCACAGGCCTGTCCGGAACATCCACAACCTACAACCCTACCCATTCTCATCTTCCTCTCAGGCAAAAGGAAGCCAAACATTTGGGTCCCACTGATTCTTTTTATAGGGGCAGTCTTCCTTACTCTTATGAAACGTTGTAAAGTAAAAATGCCTTTTTTGAAAGCCTTCCATGCAATTTTCAGGCAAAACCCCTCATTTATAAAGATCATTATCCCTTGAGAGTTTACTCTGCGTTGGCAGTAAGGAAAGGCCCTGTTGCAATCCACTGTTTTACTTTACCAGTATTTCGGCCGCTTTTATTCCTGCGCTTCATTTTTAGTTTGCCGTTTACGCTATCCCATATAAATTTAATCAATGTATCTCTGTGGCTCTCTGAATATCTGCTGGCTGAGACTTACAGAGCAAAATGAAAGTAATAACAGAGATACATTGGTGATTCCAAAAACTCAAGTCGATAAGATTAGAAAATAATCTTTCCGAGAGATGAAAAGAGATGTAGGTTCAGACACAAACTTGTAGTTTTTGACAACTCAGTACCAGAACTGTTTTAAATGAAATTCGTATAAGATTTATTATCCTGTATTTGAAAACTGTTGGTATCTTAATCTGAGAATTTGATCGAGATTTTTACACGTAGATAATAAGTCCCTTAAATTTCCATTTGAATTATTAGTAGTAGTGCATTTTGTCTACAAGCATGACTTTTATATTGAATAATACTGATTCTGAGAATACCCTGCCATGGGTACTCTGATGATTGCCTCGTAGATGTTAGGAAAATTTCACATGTCATACAGTTTCTTCTGGACAGATGAGACCAAGGTCTCCAATGGACAGTGGCCAAGAGGTGCCAGCTGACTTCTTCAGATCCCTCCCAGATGGAGCAAATCTTCTTCCTATCTTTATATCCAATTTTTCCTCCTCTGTCTTACCTGGCTCAACTCTTCTGCTTCTTTTCTTTGTTACTGATATCACTCAGGCCTGAAATGTTCGTTATCTTCCTGAACATCTCACCTGCAGTTCATACCTTACCCATCTTTGCCTCAGGCACCATTTTCTCCTTGAAGCCTTCCTTGATCCAAAGTTGGACATAGTTGTGTCAGCCTCTAGAACTTCATGTTTCATCTTTACTGATCTTATGGCTGTTATACTAGTCTCTCTTTACGGTAATCAATAGAAAGATCTTAATTTTTTTTAAAATTACCCCATAATGGCAGAGACCGTATTTTAGTCAATATAAGTCTTTCATAAGCTACACCTAGTGCTTTACAGATAGAGTACTAACATATTTGTTGAATGGCCAAATGGCAATCAAGGCAGTAGATCAGACCTAAAATGAAGATGCTCCCTCTTTCCCCAATTTGGTATCTGTCTTATACTTAGTGGACACCAGATATCTGTGGAATAGAAGATGAGTGCGTGAATGAATGGCTGGATGGGATGGGTGGAAGAATGCATGGATGCTCTGAATCTGGACTTAAAATGACCATTTAGATTATATGCTTTTATGACCCTCATTTCTCTTCTTCTCAGCCCTATTGCTCACTACACCTTCACCTTAAGGTCTCTGAGAATCCCTACACATCAGGGATCATTGCCAGCCGAGACACAGCTCCCAGCATCATAGTGGCTTCAGGTAAGAAGCTTGCCTGGTGGGCTTGCTGTTGCAAATTGTATTTATTTTAAGAAGTTAGATATCTGTGCTGGGAATTTAATGAGCAGGCAAAAATATTTTGCAAGTCACCTGAACCATTGACCCTGAACAACTATGCTGAAAAGCCCTGCTCTCATACAGTGTTGACAGTCTCGGTCCATCTCGGGCAGCATAGATTGCCAGTAGAGCCCATTGTTAGCTTTTGTAAACAGCTCCTTTCACTAATGGTGACATGCTCTCTCTAGGTAATATAGGTTCTGAATTATCAGACAGCGACATCAGCATGTTTGTCTCTTCAGATGCAGGGAACACCTGGAGGCAGGTAAGAAGGCATCCTGGGTCTCGTTGCTGCGGTTTAAATGACATAAACATTGTTCAGCTTGGTTAAATTCTGGGAACTCATTTGGCTATATGTAAATCCTAAAGCTCGTCAGTGTGTTTATTTTCCTTTTTGTTTTATGAGAGTCTTAAATAAGTCTTTGAGTTTAGCAAATACTTATGCAATGTGATTTTTTTGCCATTCAATAAAAATGACCCTTTTTTCAGAGCCTCTATGTAAGAAAGTTTATAAGTGACAATGAAACCAAATTGGATCTGAATTCAATTGGACTGAATTTTTTTTTCCCACAAAGAAAACCAGGATCCCAAAGAGGTTATTGTATAGGGAACACAGAGCCTGAAGGGTAGATTATATACCCAACACAACTCAGTGTTGGCAACTCAGCCTCCATAAATTCCCCTTGCCTTGGAGTCAGAATAGAGAGGAATGCAGTGATACAGAAACAGCCGTTACCCAGGTGGTATTTTGAAATATTTAAATTTCACATGCAGAAGACAGAGTAATAACCATCAGGGTGCATATGTTTGGAAAGGTAGAAATGGAATCGCTTTAAGCCAACGTGTTTAGCTTAAATGCTTCTTCTCTTTCTTCTGAATGAAAATTAGATACCCATAGCTTATAAAACAGACATTTAATGAGGTTTAGCAATCATAACAAGATATGTGCCTAATGCATGGTTGTTACACTTCAATAAATATATTTTAATAACCTACTGACGTTTAATTATCATACAATAACTAGCAAGCACCATAAATTGAAATCTAATGCACAGGTAATCACACAGAAATGAGAACACTCTGCTTTAAATTTTAGACAGAGATGTCCATGTTATGGTCCAGTTACCATTTCCTAGCTTCAGACCCTTCGTAGGCCCTCCATGTGATTCACATGGTTTGAGAAGAGCGAGGTGGAAAGAAATTTGCTTAAGAAACCCCAGGGATATTGATCTTGGAGGTAGGTATGTAGGAACATGGACTATTAAACTGCTTCTGGAGAACAGTTCAAGAGCCAGGATCCCATTTTGTTTCTTCCAGCACCCCAAACCAAGCAGAGAGCTCTCACATCCGTAGTCCTGGGATACCTCTTAGGTATAATAGGTAAACAAGGGAGAAAATAATTATGTCTGTAGTGTAGCCACAGACAAGGCAATACCAACAATGCAATTATGAGAAAACACACATCTCGTATGGAGAGGACACAGAAATTGTTTGTGGCCCATCCTCCCTGGACTTTAAGTTGATTTCTCCACATTTGGAGAAAAACCTAAAGGACACATGTACCCAAGTTGATTCCATTTTGATCAGAACTACTTTAGACTTGATAGAGAATCTATGAATTGAACAAGAACAGCTTTCCTCTGTAATACTTGGAAACTGAAATAATTACCTCTGGACAGTCCCAGCCCCGTGAGTCACTCTACACATGGCCTTAGGCATGTCACATCTCTCTAAACCTGTCAAAATGAGAATGTGGAGTAAAGTATCTCTAAGGTTTCTTCCTTCTAAAGATGTTACACAATAGGATGGTTACCCAGGATTCTGACATCGTCATCAGTGGGAATCAACAGAACTTACCGCAAAAAGATGGGAATATAAACATGAATATGTAACTATTAATTCTTCAGATTTCTTTTGTGGCACACCTATAATCATTTTATCTAACTCCAATGATATGTGCGGCCCACCTTGGGAAGCATTGTTTATAACTATCTTTCCAAAGATTTTTGGGAAACCCTGTTCTATCATGGGAGGGATTTATCTCCTCAGATGAAGACTAATTCTCTGAACTCTGGGCATGTGTGGGTGTAGATGTGTGTCCATGTGGATGTGTTTCCCTCTTGCAGATCTTTGAAGAAGAGCACAGTATTTTGTATCTGGATCAGGGTGGAGTCCTGGTTGCTATGAAGCACACGTCTCTCCCGATTCGACATCTCTGGTAAAAGCATGAGTCATGGACCAGATGGCTCCATACCGCTAAGCGCAGTTGAGGGGTCAGGCTGTCAGATGGGGACTGGGTTTGTAGTAAAACATCAACGTCTACTAGAGCATAATTTATACCTTTGCTCTATTAAAATAAGATTATTGCCTGGAGTTTCACAAAAGAAGGAGGAAAGGAGATAGAAGAAGGGAAGGGAGGAAGGAAGGGGAGAGGGAGAGGGAGAGAGAGAGAGAGAGAGAGAAAGAGAGAGAGAGAGAGAAAGATTGAGATCAATTCTGCCCCTGAGAGAGGAGTTGCATGATGGTTTTCAAATATGTCAGTACCCTCTCCAGTACCTTCCTTATTCCTTCAGCACACTCCCAGGTACAGTGGCGTGTCAGGTACAATGGGGAGAAGTTAAGAGTAGCTTAACGTGTATTCGTTATGTGTGTTCTGCACAGAGATCAGCAGTTCAGGGCACTGTTTCTTTCTGTCTCCTTTCCCCTGATCCTACTTCCTTCGCTTCCTTTGGGCGGGGCGGAGGGGGGCACGGGGTGTGTGAAAATCTGCAACTCTACCTGTAGGTCTCACACAGATGGATGTGCAAGGCCTAACTTCCAGAATGCTTTCCAGTAGACTCCTTCATCTGTGTTTTTGAAAGGGCCTCTCTCCACAGGCAAGCTTGTTCAAAACCAAAAGCGTGATTTTGCCTCTGGTGCTAGTTACTTTGGAGACCTATGGGAAAGCTGCCAAAATAAGAGAAACGGAAGCTTAGTTTGGGGGATGACATCCACAGAGAAAGGCAGAGTGAGGGAAACATCCTGTGTGACCAGCAGAGTTGCAGATCTCTCTTACTCTCAAGAGCCAGTCCTTTTGTACCCCCTTTTTCAATGAGTCAGCTAGGATTCATAACAGGGTAGGAGGGAAGCCGCTCAGGATTTGCTCACTTAGAGGCAGCTGGTTCAAGTCCATCTAAGTAGGTCCAATGAGGCCATTGCTCTTCAGAATCACCAGTAAGCCTTGCTGCTAGATTGCAGTGAGGTTTTGGAGAGGGTCACATTGAGATCTAAGATCTAATAAAATATCCAAATTAAAAAAAAATTCTATCAAAGACTTATTATTATTCCCATTTCATGCAGTTCTTCCCTTATGGCTGTTATAACACATCTGGGTCCCAGATCGCTTGGCTAACTGTATTTCTACCTTCTGATGTAATTAAGAATAGTTATTCATATAAAAGGCTCACTTTGACAGCGCCCTGGGTACTTTTAAAATGTATTCTCTCTTGGCTGATAGTATCTTTCCTCTGAAAGGATTTTTTTTTTTTTCTTTTGAGATCTGATGCCTGCTATTTTTTCTTTTATTAGGTTGAGTTTTGATGAAGGGAGATCTTGGAGCAAATACAGTTTCACATCTATTCCACTTTTTGTGGATGGGGTTCTGGGTGAGCCTGGGGAGGAGACTCTAATCATGACGTAAGTGGAAAAGTATGATGTATTCTAATCTTAATATAAATCCAGAAACATGTTGTATTTTGTTTTCTTTTTAAGGAATTTATTCATTTATTTGAGAGAGCGAGAGAGCATGAGCAGGGGGAGGGGCAGAGGCAGAGGCAGAGAATCTCAAGCAGACTCTGTGCCATGCACGGAGCTCCAGGTGGGGCTTGATCTCACAACCCTGAGATCTCCACCTGAGTCGAAACCAAGATCCGGACACCTAATGGACTGAGCCACACAGGTGCCCCCAGAAACATGTTGTTTTTAGCAAATCCTAACCACTTTGCTACTGTTAAATATGAAATTGCCAGCAAGGTTATTACATCTGACTTCATGGTTTCCCAGCAAAGGGGAAAGAAAAATGTGGGTGGCCATTTTCTTGGCTCTTTACTAATTAGGACACCCACACTGAGGGCTGGCAGCAAAAGGGCACAACTTATTTCTTCCTATACTGAATGGGCCTAGGGAAATTAGAAATGATTATTTCAATAGAAAATGAAACTATAAATTTAAAACTTTAATAATAAACTCAATATTACAGAAAATCACAGGCGTATAAGAATGATTTCACTTTAAGGCAGAACACTGAGCTTGATCATAAACCCCACAAAGGATTTTCTTTTTCCCTGGCTCTTTACCTAACCCACTTGTGAGGCTATATTAGAAAAACCGGGAGAACAATCTGTTCTTGTGAAATTGTATTTGCACTCATTCTTGTCTGGAGAGTGATGATCATTAATTTGTGAAAGACTTGATTAATGAGTTTGAAACTTAAGGGTTTCAAAACATGAACTTGGAATTTGAAACATGAAACTGTGAGGGTTTTTTTTTCTTCCCCTGGAAAATTGGACATGGAAAACAGAGGGAAGGTTTTAAAGTAGTCAACCCTGTCATCAATGAAAATTTAAAAGTCATAGTGAATAGTGGATACTTTTTCTAATTTTTTCTTCCCTTCTTTTAATGATAGAAAAGATCAACAAAAATTCAGTATGCCCAATAGCTGCACTTTTGCCCACCGAACACATAGCCAGATTAGCAATTTGTTCCATAATTTGTCTTTATTCAGGTTTCATATTTGCAGAACGCAGATGAAAAAGGCTACTTCATGGCTTTTCTCCACAGAGGGCTATAACTGGTGATTCAAACACCTCATTAGATGCCCGAGTTTGTCTGAGTAAGGAGAGAATGCAGAGTGCAGGACACAGTTCTCACTCCAGGCCCTGGCCCTGCTGCCCACTCTCCCCAGGGACTGGCGGGAAGGTGAAATAGGACAGAAACCGTGAGAACCACGGACCTTAGTAAGAGAACCCAGAAGTGTAATCCTGCACCGCATAGAAGACAGCACTTGCGATTGTTTTCTTAATTTTTTTTTTTCTTGTCAGCCGTTCTTGTGGTACAATATGCAGAAGTGGGTTTTTCGTCAGACTTTACCTGGTTCTGGGTTCTGACTCGACCAGTTCTTAGTGGTTTGACTTTGGTTTTTTGCATGTTAGTGAAACTCTCTGAGCCTCAAATTACTCACGGGTGACACAGAGCCAATAATAGTGACCCCCCTCGTCAATGCGTTTTGAGGATTAAGTGATCTGCTCAATGTACCGCGTTGAGCACTGTGCTAAGCTCGTGGTCAACACCCGGCATGGGCTGGCTACTGGAGTTGCTCCGATTTTGATTATTTTTCTTGTTATGGACTCTGTAGCGTGTTTGGACACTTCAGCCACCGCTCAGAATGGCAGCTGGTCAAAGTGGACTACAAGTCCGTGTTCGACCGACGGTGTGCCGAGGAGGACTACAGACCGTGGCAGCTGCACAGCCAGGTAGGAGGCGCCGAGCTGAGGTGTGGTCCTGGGTGGAAGGCATGGGGGTCATGTAGGTGTGGGAATCGGGGTCCGCACGGCCACAGTTTACCTCTCCGGCTACATCAGAAGCTACATCGACTGCTTTCTTACATGTTTTGTGTTCCACAGCAGTGAACAAACTCAACATTTATGGCTTGTTGTAAAGTAATTTCTTTTTTTTATTATACTAGGATATAATGAGATAAAATTCAAATGTGCTTGGCTCAGACTTACGACTCAAAATGAAATACCAGCTCAGCACGCAGATCCAAACAATTTATCTGAGCATGCCGTGTGGATGCAGGGTAGGGGCAGGGGTGAGGAAAGAATCTTCAGTTTTATTGAGCAATGCAAACAGAGACATAAAATAATAAAATTAACCCTCAGTGAGCGGTGCCAGTAAAATCCTTCCTTGTCACCCTGTGATTCCCTGGGATTAGGCGGTGCTTCTTGCCTCCTTCCAAGGTACTCGTGGTAAGAGGATGCAGAATCATTAATAGGACACTTT